CTAATAACCCGTGTATAATACTACCCCCTACTTTATGGATGATTTTTAGGGTTAAATTTCTAGTATTATACAGGAATAAATACAGTAACTTTTGAAATGGTGCACCTAAGGAAAAATGTTGGGTGCACTGGTGCAACAAATACAAAAAGTTAGTCTAGAGCCCTAACAAAACTAAACAAAAAAATAAAAAAAGGAAACAAAACCATAACAGCAGAAATCAAGAGACAAAAAGAAGTGACAGAAAGGTTACATAATTTACATTAACAACTTTTATACAGACAGTTAACAGCTCAGATTGTTATGAAGACTTTTTATCCAGTTTCACACAAAATGTTCCATCAGATCCTGAGTCGAACTGAGTCTGTCTGCTGCTGCTAAATAAACTAAATCTGATGGAAATAAAAACACTTGAAAATTGGTGTTTAGAGCTTTAATTTATTTCAAAATTAAGTTAAATACTTTTGTTCATACGTTAGTTACCAAGCTGCAAGAACATTTTGTGAGTGAGTGAGTGAGTGAGTGAGTTAGGTTTGGGTATCGATTCAAATTTCCCAAATCAATTTGATTAGATTCATGATTCACAACAATTCAGGACAATTCAGGATGATTCAGGACGATTCACGACAATTCACGACGATTCACAACAATTCAGGACGATTCAGGACGATTCACAACAATTCAGGATGATTCAGGACGATTCACAACGATTCAGGATGATTCATAACAATTCAGGATGATTCAGGACGATTCAGGACGATTCACGACTCAGGACAATTCAGGATGATTCAGGACGATTCACAACAATTCAGGATAATTCAGGACGATTCACGACTCAGGACGCAGGACGATTCATGACGATTCACGACGATTCAGGACGATTCACGACTCAGGACGATTCAGGATGATTCAGGACGATTCACAACAATTCAGGATGATTCAGGATGATTCACAACAATTCAGGATGATTCAGGACGATTCACAACAATTCAGGATAATTCAGGACGATTCACGACTCAGGACGCAGGACGATTCATGACGATTCACGACGATTCAGGACGATTCACGACTCAGGACGATTCAGGATGATTCAGGACGATTCACAACAATTCAGGATGATTCAGGATGATTCACAACAATTCAGGATGATTCAGGACGATTCACAACAATTCAGGATAATTCAGGACGATTCAGGACAATTCAGGACGATTCAGGACAATTCAGGATGATTCAGGACGATTCACGATTCAGGACGATTCAG